TCAAACTAAGTGAACACATGCACATTGGAATGCATTGAAGTGAGAGAACAGTGATGGCTATCTAGCAATAGACTGATTGATTAAAGACTCACCAAGAAAGCCTTGTCTGAAGCTGATCTGCGAGGGTTAGAAGAACCCTCAAATAGGGTCACAGATATACCATGTACATAGTAGTAATCAAGTACAGTATCAGAACACTAACTTTATTCTTTTTCATAACTAATTTGTTATTGGGAGCACAGTAATGTGTATTGGTGGAATTTGCAATTTGCGTTCAAAACTTTGTAACATTAAATTCTTTTCAGGAGTTGGAGGAGAATCAGAGTGAGAGGAGTCAGAAGTATCGTGAGCTCCGTAAGCGAGAAGAAACAATGGAACAATTTCTGGCTACTTTTGAAGAGAATAAAGAAGAGGAATTGAAACGATTAGAAAGTCTGGAGACCAATAATGTTGCTGTACTTGAAAAAATATCTCGCCATCTTGCCCACTTTAAACATTTACCAAGGTAAAAACGGTTGTGTCTTTCAGTTTATAGCAATGATTTGAGATTGGTGTTCATGAGAATAAAAACTAGTTGTTATATAGCACTGTCTCTGTTCACTGCTCATCTTGTGAGGCTATCTGATAATGTTTACACACCTTCATAGTGCAGCTCACAGCAATATTTAGGTACATATGCTTGCCTAGACAGATACCTATAGTGGTTCACTTGTTATTTTCACTATAAATTTCCATGGGATAATTTAGAATGGCTCTTCGTGTCATCCTGAAACTTTCAAATTATTTACTATATTTTAGTAAAATGAAAGTTTGTATTGTTATTGGGCAATGTACCCCTTCCCTATTTTTTAATCTCAGGATCAATATTTTTAGTTTTTCTTAGCATCCTGGAACAATAACAGTTAGGCAGAGCTTCACCAATTTTATTGCACCCACTTTTGATAGTCTCACATATCACGTCAGATGCAAAACTTTTCAAGTTATGAAACTCATATTAGGGTTTACTAGACTGATGAAACTCATGGTGAGTGAAACTTATCTTAGTAAAAGTTTCTTAATTACCTAAGAGCCACTTAAATACATCTTGTTCTATTTTATATCTACAGTATATACATTCATATGTAAATGCTCTTACTGTACTGTACTATATAATATTTGATTGCAGTACTCACGACTTCGATACAATGAGAACTGACTTAGCTTTTAAGGAAGGAGAGCTGGAGAAATCTCGCTACACAGAGCAGGGCCTTAAGCATGAAAACCTCAATCTTCAGGCCAACTTACAGAAGGTAGTATTCAAATATAAGTTCTTACATGCTGTAATCCTCTCATCGGTTATTTTTATTTTTTATATGTAACAATTTAATATGGTCGAACTTTGCTTGTAAGAAATTCAGACTGACAGCTACTAACCTAACAATGGAGCACTGGACTGTGGTTTGAGACATGAGCTCGACTATCATTTACAGTTATATATTACCAAAACTGTTGTCCAGAGGGCTGAGGAAGGGTTGTTGAGGTGGTTTGGACATGTGGAGAGAATGGAGCGAAACAGAATAACTTCAAGAGTGTATCAGTCTGTAGTGGAAGGAAGGCGGGGTAGGGGTCGGCCTAGGAAAGGTTGGAGGGACGGGGTAAAGGAGGTTTTGTGTGCGAGGGGCTTGGACTTCCAGCAGGCATGCGTGAGCGTGTTTGATAGGAGTGAATGGAGACAAATGGTTTTTAATACTTGACGTGCTGTTGGAGTGTGAGCAAAGTAACATTTATGAAGGGGTTCAGGGAAACCGGCAGGCCGGACTTGAGTCCTGGAGATGGGAAGTACAGTGCCTGCACTCTGAAGGAGGGGTGTTAATGTTGCAGTTTAAAAATTGTAGTGTAAAGCACCCTTCTGGCAAGACGGTGATGGAGTGGATGGTGGTGGGATTTTTTCTTTTTCGGGCCACCCTGCCTTGGTGGGAATCGGCCAGTGTGATAATAAAAAATATACAGTGGTCCCTCGCTTTTCGTAGTTCTTGGCAATCGTAAATTTCGCCAATCATAGGGGTATTTTTGTATAAACATGGACTTGCTTTTCATAGGTTGACTCGCGAATAGTAGTTCGTCCAGGACGCTTACGCACGGTGTGAGCCGGGGCGGCCTCCCTACCCAGCCAGTCTGGCATTGTTTACCAGTGAGTGAAGGTCCCCTCAAGTGCTCCTACGAAATATTTCATAATATTCCACTCATTTTAGTGCTTGCAAGTACTAAATAAGCTACCATGGCTCCAAAGAAAGCTCCTAGTGCCAAGCCTGTGGTAAAGAAGGTGAGAAATATGTACAGTGACAAAGTCTTGGGCCATTTAGGGAAGTGTTAAAGAGATGCCAGAAACAGAGCACTCTCCACATTACTTTGCGAGACAGACTAGAGTGACTCTCAAGGTGGTCCTAGTGGCATTAAGAAACAGAGAAAGAAGCAACCCCAGAGAAGCAATTGGTACCTGAGGTGTTGCTGGAAGGGGATTCCCCTTCCAAACTGTAAACAATCCAATCTCTCTCCTCCTCCAGTCTCCCATACAGTAAGAAGAATCTCCAATAAAGGTAAGTGTTATGCTGTTAATGTTTCATTCATCATTTCCCATTGTATTGTTTATGTACTACATGTATATTTCATGTAAAAAAAATTTTTGTTTTAATACTTCTGAGTGTCAGAAACGGATTAATTGTATTTACATTATTTCTTATGGGGAAAATTGATTCGCAAATCGTAAATTTCGTTTATAGTAGCTCCTCCAGGAACGGATTAATTACGAAAAATGAGGGACCACTGTATTATGTTTATAATGCACTTGGTTTAAAAATTGAACAAAGTAATTTGTTGCTTAATAGTTCACTACATAAAAAAGAAATGCTTGAACCTGTTATTATTGCTAACGAAAATAACTAATAATTAGCTGTGTTTACTAAGTGTATATGACTATCCTTAACCCTTTGACTGTTCCAGTCGTATATATACGTCTTATGTATACTCATAAATTCTAGCGGCTTCAAATCAAGCAGGAGAAAGATGGTAGGCCCACATGTGAGAGAATGGGTCTGTGTGCACCATATAAACAAATCTTTGAGCACGCAGTGCATAATGAGAAAAAAAAACTCCAACCTTTTTTTTTTAATTAAAATGCCGACTTTGTGGTCTTTTTTCGTATAGTATTTATGGTTGTATTCTCGTTTTCTTGATCTCATGTGATAGAATGGAAAATATATTATAGAAATAGAGGTGATTTTGGTTGGTTTTACTATAAAAAGAACCTGGAAATGGAGCTCAAAATAGGGGAAATGTTTGATTTTTGCCAGTGTTCAATAGTAAACAAATGATGTCATTGTCCAATAAATGTCCAACTAACCATTCTAATATGCAGTCATGAATGGGTTGACATTATTTGTACAATTATTACAGTATTGCAGTAGTCTGCATAACAGTAAATCTTCTATTTTTTATTTGAATAAAAATTCAAAATAGAAAGCAAGAGTAATATCAGAGGGGCCTGAAGACATGACTGATGAATAAAGAAAATGTTATTTTAGAGCCTGGAATGTCTGCATTGTTCATTCTGGACCCTATTTTGAAATTGTCATATTTTTTTATTTTCGTGAAATTGGCCAAATTGCAAATTTCTGACCACATTATTGGGTAGTTGAAATCGGTAAATGGGCAGCTTCTTGTCCTCATTCAATAGAAAAAACAGAGTTCTAAAGAAATAGCTATGAGTTTGGTAGATTGGAACAGTGGAATTAGCCGAAAATAGGGTTCATATTGGGCAAAATCATCGATTTGTAAATATTGCCGAGGTCGCTAACTTCGCGAGAGTGTAATTCCGTCAGTTTTCCATCAAATTTTGTTTTTTTTAGTGTCATTACAATCGGGAGAAGATTCTCTATCATTTCATAAGAAAAAAATAATTTTTTTTTTTTTAAATTTTGTGACACCAGGAGACACCACAGGATTGGGGGTTGCGACAGTCAAGGGGTTAAGCTAGCCTCAGGAAGTAATCCATGTAATTACCTGTATGTAGCTTCAGGAGCAGACCCATGCTTGTGGTGTCCCATCTTCAGTAATTAATTCATTAAAGAATATAATTTTTAAAAATTTCCAGTGGTTGTAGCACTCAATATCTCTTCTTGTAATACATACCATTGATCTATCACAATGTACTACGAAGTGTAGTACATAACTCCTTCACTGAAAATGAAAAGTAGACTAAAAATATGTGACTAGTGTATATATGGGTGAAGCAACTGTATTGTTAATTTTCTTTTATGACAACAGTGTTCAAGAAGTGTGTGTCTTAGGGTCAGCTCAGAAAGTTTTTTTAGGCAGGGCTTAGGGGTGGCTGTCTGGTGGGAAGAAGGGGCTAGGGGACTCTTCTTCATGCATTGTTATCACTATTATTATTTTTCTTTGGAAAATTGATGTAACTTCTTGGAGGCTTCAGCCTCCCTTGGCACTATCTGAGTAATGGTGTTGAAATGTTTGTACCCGAGGACATTTTTTAGGTCATTAATTATGACCAGAAATTATCATTATTTCTGTCTTGGAACTTTGGGCCAGTTAGTTATATCTTTGTTTTTCTAACAAGATTCAAAGAGTTAGTGGAACCTCGGTTTTCGTATACCCCAGTTTTTGTAGGATTCGGTTTTTGACAACTTTTTCCGTCAAAATTTTATCCCAGTTTTCGTACATCTGCTCAGTTTTTGTAGAACTGAAAATGGTCCGTACCAAACGTGCCCGCATGACTCAGCCACTCAAGTGCCCACACAAAGCATCCCATGCGTTCGTGACTCGGTCTGCCTTTGTTTCTCGTTGAGGGAGCATCACCCAGCACGTTCATCCGAAACTTTTCGTAATACATGTAATCCATTGTTTTTTGTGCTTGTTTATTGAGTGTGACTGCTAAATAAGCCACCATGGGACCAAAGAAAGTTCCAAGTGCCAGCCTTTTGATAAAGAAGGTGAGAAGTACAATAGAATCCAAGAACAAACTTGTAGCAAAGTACAAAAGTGGTGTACGTGTGGCTGATCTTGCCGGAATGTACGGGAAGTCCGCATCAACGATCAGTTCCATCCTGTTGAAGAAAGCAGAAATCAAGGAAGCCGATGTTGCAAAAGGGGTAAATGTGCTAACGAAACAGAGATCACAAACGATCGAAGATGTTGAGAAGTTGTTGTTCGTGTGGATCAATGAAAAACAGTTAGTGGGAAATAGTGTTTTAGAGGCGATAATTTGCAAAAAGGCAATAGGCAGTTGCATGCAGATCTCGCAAAGAAAATACCTGGAATAAGTGCTGCTGTTACTGAATTTAAGGCCAACAGAGGCTGGTTCAACAAATTCAAGAAGCAAACTGGCATATACAGTGTGGTAAGGCATGGCGAGGCTGCAATTTCGGACAAATGTGGGGCCAAAGAATTCATTGATGAATTCAAGGAGTACGTAGAGGCTGGAGGATTCCTCCCCCAGCAAGCCTTTAATTTGATGAAATAAGCCTCTTTTGGAAAAAAATGCCAAAGAGGACCTACATCATGCAGGAAGAAAAGGCACTGCCAGGACACAAGCCTATGAAGGATAAGCTAACTCTTTTGTTCTATGGTAATGCTAGTGGGGATTTCAAAGTGAAGCCTTTACTGGTGTATTACTCTGAAAATCCCCAAGTGTTCAAGAAAAACAATGTCATGAAGAGTAAATTGTGTGTGATGTGGAAGGCTAACAATAAGGCATGGGTCACCAGGCAAATTTTCATCGAGTGGGTCAGTGAAGTGTTTGGCCCGAGTGTGAAGAAATACCTCCTGGAAAATCATTTGGCACTCAAGTGCCTCCTGGTGATGAACAGTGCTCCTGCTCATCCTCCAGACTTGGAAAACCAATTGTTTGAGGAGTTTAGTTTCATCACAGTGATATTCTTGCCCCCTAATACCACTTCTTTCATCCAGCCCATGGACCAGGTCATTTCAAACTTCAAAAAACTCTACAACAAAGCAGTTTCAAAGGTGCTTTGAAGTGACCTCGGACACTGAATTGACCTTAAGAGAGTTCTGGAGGAATCACTTCAATATCCTCAATTGCATAAGCCTTATAGATAAGGCTTGGCAGGGAGTGATTTCCAGGACAATTAGCTCTGCTTTGAGAAAATTGTGGCCAGAATGTGTCCTTGAGAAGGATTTTGAAGGGTTTGAGGCTGACCCTGACGACCCTACGCCTATTGTGGAATCTACTGTGTCTTTTGGGAAGTCCATGGGGTTGCATGTAAGTGGCCAAGATGTGGAAGAGTTGGTGGATGACCACAGGGAAAAGCTAACCACTCAAGAGCTTCAAGACCTTCAACTGGAACAGCAACAGACTGCAGCTGAGGAAATTGCTTTAGAGGAGGAGGAAGAGAAAGGGGAGAATGTGGCTTCTTCAGTGATTAAGGATATACAGTGGACCCCCGGCTTACGATATTATTTCATTCCAGAAGTATGTTCAGGTGCCATTACTGAACGAATTTGGTCCCATAAGGATATTGTGAATTAGATTAGTCCATTTCAGACCCCCAAACATACATGTACAAACGCACTTACATAAATACACTTACATAATTGGTCGCATTGGGAGCTGATTGTAAACCGGGGGTCCACTGTATATGTAAAGTGGAGTGAGTTGCAAAGTTTTGTGGAGAAATATCACCTTAACAAAGGTGTTGCAAGCTGTGTCTACAACATGTTCAATGACAATGCCTTGTCCTGTTTTAGGCAAATTTTAAAGAGATGCCAGAAACAGACCTCTCTGGACACATTTTTTGTGCAACAGGGGTACAGTGACTCTCAAGCTGGTGCTAGTACCAGTAAAAGACAAAGAAGGAAACTAACCCCAGATAGGGCCTTGATACCTGAAGTCCATATAGAAGGGGATTCCCCTTCCAAACAATAACTTATCCTCCTCTCTCCCCTCCTCGCAGTGTTCCATACACCAACAAGAGTCTTCAATAAAGGTAAAAGTGATGTTAAATGTTCATTTATCCATTTCATTAGTCATTTTTTATTTATTTCTCATTGTTTTCTACATTTTTTTATTATCACACTGGCCGATTCCCACCAAGGCAGGGTGGCCCGAAAAAGAAAAACTTTCACCATCATTCGCTCCATCACTGTCTTGCCAGAAGGATGCTTTACACTACAGTTTTTAAACTGCAACATTAACACCCCTCCTTCAGAGTGCAGGCACTGTACTTCCCATCTCCAGGACTCAGGTCCGGCCTGCCGGTTTCCCTGAATCCCTTCATAAATGTTACTTTGCTCACACTCCAACAGCACGTCAAGTATTAAAAACCATTTGTCTCCATTCACTCTGGAACGGATTAATTGGATTTGCATTATTTCTTACGAGAAATACAGTGGACCCTTGACATTCGATACTAATCCGTTCCTGAGAGCTATCGAATGTCGAAAATATCGAAAGTCGAATTAATTTTCCCCATAAGTAATAATAGAAATCAAATTAATCCGTGCAAGACACGCAAAAGTATAAAAAAAAAATTTACCACATGAAATATTAAGTTTAATGCAATAAAATAATTACAATAACAACAATAACAATAGATTAATAACAATAGAATAATTGACACGTACCTTTAATAAAGATTGGGTGATGATTGATGGGATGGGAGGAGGGGAGAGTGTGGATGGTGTTAGTGTTTAGAAGGGGAATCTCCTTCCTTTAGGACTTGAACTGGGAGCCTCGCCATGCCTTACCATTCTGTGTATGCCACTACAATTCTTAGATCTTTCAAACCAACCTTTGCTGGCCTTAAATTCACTCACGTCACCACTAGTTGCAGGCAATTTCTTAACCAAATCATCATGCACTCCGACACACGCACTCCACTTTCATACTTTGCAATTATCTCTTTCTTCATTTCAATAGTCATTAGCACCTTTTTTCTCGAAGGGTTGGCACTAGAAGCTTTCTTTGGGCCCTTGGTTACTTATTTTGCAGAAACAACCACCAAAAACAGTGATAATATGGATAATATGGAATGTACCGAATGTATCCTTAGATGTGCACACACTGGCACACACGGTGCAGTTCAGGCCACACATGGACACATCTCGTACGAATTGTATCGAATGTCGGGTTTTCCATCGAACGTTGAGGTGAAATTTTTGCGTTAAAATGCATCGAATGTCGGATTTATCGAATGTCGATTCCATTGAATGTCGGGGGTCCACTGTATTGCTTCAGTTTTCATACGATTCAGTTTTCGTCAGACTTTTTAGAATGGATTAATCATGAAAACCGAGATTCCACTGTACTTTAGTTATGGCAGCTAACACAGTAGGATAAACATCTGATTTTGATTACAACAGACACCAACACCTCATTCACCTTCTTAGAAATATCCTCTCATCAGTTATACCATTCTCAGCCTCACCATGGGAATAAAATCATGTTTGGATCACCCTGACTTGTTAGGAGACGACCAGTGTGTTGAAAAAACAAAAATCTTACTCAACCTCATGATGGGAATAAATTCACATTTTATCAGTGATATCTTACTGCTTATCAGTTAATTGTCATGAGTATTGTAGGCACAGCTGTGATGCCCAGGGCTGAGGAAGGGTTGTTGAGGTGGTTCGGACATGTAGAGAGAATGGAGCGAAACAGAATGACTTCAAGAGTGTATCAGTCTGTAGTGGAAGGAAGGCGGGGTAGGGGTCGGCCTAGGAAAGGTTGGAGGGAGGGGGTAAAGGAGGTTTTGTGTGCGAGGGGCTTGGACTTCCAGCAGGCATGCGTGAGCGTGTTTGATAGGAGTGAATGGAGACAAATGGTTTTTAATACTTGACGTGCTGTTGGAGTGTGAGCAAAGTAACATTTATGAAGGGGTTCAGGGAAACCGGCAGGCCGGACTTGAGTCCTGGAGATGGGAAGTACAGTGCCTGCACTCTGAAGAAGGGGTGTTAATGTTGCAGTTTAAAAACTGTAGTGTAAAGCACCCTTCTGGCAAGACAGTGATGGAGTGAATGATGGTGAAAGTTTTTCTTTTTCGGGCCACCCTGCCTTGGTGGGAATCGGCCAGTGTGATAATAATAATAATAATAGTTAATTATACAACATTTTGATAATTTTCAGATTGAAGCTCTGGAAACTAAAGTTCAGAAAGAGATGGTTGATATAAAAGAAAAATTGGCCCAAATGGAGGAAGAAATTGTAGAATTCTCAGATTTAGATGGTTTAAAATCCAGAGCTGAGGAGAAACGTAAGCAGTTAGCTCAAGAGAAAGATGAGCTGGAAGCTAGAAAGAGCTGCATCACTCAGAGTCTGCACGAGATTACTACTGCCATTACTGCACTCAAGGTAATATTCTCTTAAAACCTTCATCTGTTTACATATACATATATATATATATATACCATGTAGTAGGTTGGTAGACAGCAACCAGCCAGGGAAGTACTACTATCCTTCCAAATGAGTGTAAGATGGAAACCTGTTTTTGTTTTACATGACGGTAGGAATGCTAATGTCTTATTTGTTTCATAAACACACAAGATAACAAGTATATCTTGCTACTTCTACTGACAATTAGGTCACACTACACATGTATGTACATGTGTTTTCTTTGGTTTTTCCTAATAGTTCTTCTTATAATTTTCATTTCATATCCATGAGGAAGTGGAAATATAATTTTTCCTCTGTAAACCATGCAGGTTGTAAAAATCAACTAAAATGCCAGGAGCAATGGGCTAGTAACCCCTTCTCCCTTACAGCTTACTAAAAATAAAACTAAGTTGTGATGTTTGAATGTGCGTGGATGTAGTGTGGATGACAAGAAAGAGATGATTGTGGATGTTATGAATGAAAAGAAGCTGGATGTTCTGGCTCTAAGTGAAACAAAGCTGAAGGGGGTAGGAGGGTTTCAGTGAGGAGAAATAAATGGGATTAGGTCAGGGGCTTCAAATAATTAAAGCTAAGGAAGGAATAGCAATAATGTTGAAGGATCAGTTATGACAGGAAAAGAGGGAATATAAATATATAAATTCGAAGATTATGCAGAGTAAAATAAGGATGGGATATGAAAAGTGGGTTATAATAAGTGTTTATGCACCTGGAGAAGAGAGAAGTTTAGAGGAGAGAGATTTTGGGAGATGTTGAGTGAGTGCATGGGGAGTTTTGAACCAAGTGAGAGTACTTGTGATGGGGTACCTAAATGCTAAAGTAGGTAAAACTATTGTGGAGGGAGTAGTAGGTAAGTTTGGGGTGCCAGGAGAAAATTAAAATGGGGGGCCTTTAATTGAATTATGTATAGAAAGAGGTTTGGTATTAATACATATTTTAAAAAAAGAGGATAAGTAGTAGGTAGTAGGTTGGTAGACAGCAGCCGCCCAGGGAGGTACTACCGTCCTGCCAAGTGAATGTAAAATGAAAGCCTGTAATTGTTTTACATGATAGTAGGATTGCTGGTGTTTTTTCTGTCTCATAAACGTGCAAGGTTTCAGGTACGTCTTGCTACTTCTACTTACATTTAGGTCACACTACACATACATGTACAAGCATATATATACACACCCCTTCTAGGTTTTCTTCTGTTTTCTTACTAGTTCTTGTTCTTGTTTATTTCCTCGTATCTCCATGGGGAAGTGAAACAGAATTCTTCCTCTGTAAGCTATGCGTGTTGTAAGAGGCAACTAAAATGCCAGGAGCAAGGGGCTAGTAACCCCTTCTCCTGTATATATTACTAAATGTGAAAGGAGAAACTTTTGTTTTTCCTTTTGGGCCACCCCGCCTCGGTGGGATACAGCCAGTGTGTTGAAAAAAAAGAAAGAAGTATACAAGATATGATATAGCACATAATGACAGTAGTTTGTTAAATTATACATTGGTGGATAAAAGGTTGATGGGTAGACTTCAGGATGTGAATGTTTATAGAGGGGCAACAGATATATTGGATCCTTTAGTTGTAGCTACAGTTAGAGTAAGAAGTAGATGGAGCAAAAGGAAAATGGCAACAGCAAGTAAAAGAGGGGTGAAAGTTTATAAACTAAGGGAGGAGAAAGGTAGGGTGAGATTTAAGCAAGTACGTATTGGGAGAAAGGTGGGCGAATGAGAGTATAGGTAGTATGGGGGTTGAAGAGGGGTGGGGTAGTTGTAAAAAGGCAGTGTTAGAATGCAGAGGAAAGTTAGTGGTTATAGAAGGGTGGATGCAGGAGAAAAGAGGAGTGATTAGTGGAATGAGGTAAAGGGTATGATAAAACACAAAAAGGTCGTGTATGAGAGATTTTTACAGAGCAGAAGTGATATAAAAAGGTTGGAGTATATAGAGTAAAAGAGAGGGAAATAGAGTGGTGAAGGAGTGCAAAAGGAAAGCAAATGATTGAGTGGGTGAGGCACTGTCAAGAAATTTTGCTGAGAATAAAATAAAAAATTTGGAGAAAAATAGGTTAACAAAGCCTAGGGAACAAATGGATTTGACAGTTAAAAACAGAATAGAGGAGTTAGTAGATATTGGAGATATTGGGAAGACGGTGGGAATATTTTGAGGAAGTGTTAAATGTTGATGAAGAGAGGGAGGCAGTAATTTCATGCATTGGCCAGGGAGGTATAACATCTTCTAGTAGTGAAGAAGAGCCAGATGTGAGTGAGAGGGAGATGCATGATGCATAAGGTAGAATGAAAGGGGGTAAAGCAGCTGGAACCGATGGGATCATGACAGATATGTTAAAAGCAGGGGAGGATATAGTGTTGGAGTGGTTTGTAGTTTTTGTTTAATAAATATTTGAAAGAGGGGAAGGTACCTAGGGATTGGCAGAGAAAGGGGGACAAATGAGATTGTTAAAATTATAGGAGAATAAGTTTACTGAAGGAAGGTGGGGTAGGGGTCGTCCTCGAAAAGGTTGGAGGGAGGGGGTAAAGGAGGTTTTGTGGGCGAGGAGCTTTGACTTCCAGCAAGCGTGCATGAGCGTGTTAGATAGGAGTGAATGGAGACGAATGGTATTTGGGACCTGACGATCTGTTGGAGTGTGAGCAGAGTAATATGTAGTGAAGGGATTCAGGGAAACCGGTTATTTTTATATAGTCGGACTTCAGTCCTGGAAATGGGAAGTACAATACCTGCACTCTAAAGGAAGGGTTCGGGATATTAGCAGTTTGGAGGGATATGTTTGTGTATCTTTATAGGTATATGCTTCTAAGCTGTTGTGTTCTGAGCACCTCTGCAAAAACAGTGATTATGTGTGAGTGAGGTGAAAGTGTTGAATGATGATGAAAGTATTTTCTTTTTGGGGATTTTCTTTCTTTTTTGGGTCACCCTGCCTCGGCGGGAGACGGCCAACTTGTTAAAAAAAAAAAAAAAGTTTACCAAGTTGTAGGTAGTAGATTGGTAGACAGCAGCCACCCAGGGAGGTACTACTATCCTTCCAAGTAAGTATAAAATGGAAGCCTGTAATTGCTTTACATGATGGTGGGATTGCTGGTGTCTTTTTTCTGTCTCATAAACATGCAAGATTTCAGGTAGATCTTGCTACTTCTACTTGCACTTAGATCACACTGCACTTGGATGTACAAGCATATACATACACACCCCTCTGGGTTTTCTTCTATTTTCTTACTAGCTCTTGTTTATTTCCTCTTATCTCCATGGGGAAGTGAAACAGAATTCTTCCGCCATAAGCCATATGTGTCGTAAGAGGTGACTAAAATGCTGGGAGCAAGGGACTAATAACCCCTTCTTCTGTATACATTACTGAAGTTAAAAAGAGAAACTTTTGTTTTTCTTTTTGGGTCACCCTGCTTTGGTGGGATATGGCTGGTTTGTTGAAAAAAGTAGTAGTTTACTGAGTATATCAGGTAGGGTTATTGAAAGAATTAGAGGTAAGACAGAGAGCAAGATTGCAGATGAACAAGGAGGCTTTAGAATAAGTAGGGGATGTGTAGATCAAGTTTTTACATTGAAGCATATAAGTGAACAATATTTAGATATAAGTAGGGATGTTTTCATTGCATTTATGGATTTTGAACAGGCATATGATAGGGTGGATAGGGGAGCAATGTGGAAGATCTTGCAAGTGTATGGAATAGGTAGTAAGTTACTAAATGCTGCAAAGAGTTATGAGGATAAGTGAGGCTCAGGTAAGGGTGTGTAGGAGAGAGGGAGATTACTTTCCAGTAAAAGTAGGCCTTAGGATCGTGTAATGTCACCATAGTTGTTTAACATATTTATAGATGGAGTTGTAAAACAAGTAAATGGTAGGGTGTTGGGAAGAGGGGTGGGATTAAATTATGGGGGAATCAGATACAAAATGGGAATTGACACATTTACTTTTTGCTGCTGATACTGTGCTTTTGGGAGATTCTAAGTTGCAAAGGTTAGTGGATGAGTTTGGGAGGGTGTGTAAAGAAAATTGAAAGTGAACATAGATAAGAGTAAAGTGATGAGGATATCAAATGGGTTAAATAAAGAAAAACTGGATATCACATTGAAGGGAGGGAGTATGGAAGAAGTCAATGTGTTCAGATATTTGGGGGTAGATTTGTCAGCAGATGGGTTTATGAAGGATGAGGTTAACCATAGAATTGATGGAAGAAAAAAGGTGAGTGATACATAGAAGTGTCTGTGGAGACAAAAAATATTATCCATGAAGGCAAAGAAGGGAAGGTACAAGAGTATAGTGGTACCAATGCTTGTATGGGTGTGAAGCATGGGTTTTAAATGCTGAAGTGAGGAGGAGGCTGGAGGCAGTGGAGATGTCATGTCTAAGGGCAATGTGTGGTGTAAATATTATGCAGAGAATTCGTAGGGTGGAAATTAGGAGGTGTGGAGTTACAAAAAGTATTCAGAGGGCTGAAGAGGGGTTATTGAGGTGGTTTGGTCACTTAGAGAGTTTGGAGCGAAATAGAATGACTTGGAGGTAGTATAAATCTTTAGTGGAGGGGAGGAGGGGTAGGGGGTCATCCTAGGAAAGGATGGAGGGAGGGTATAAAAGAGGTCTTGTGTGCAAGGGGCCTGGACATGCAGCAGGCATGTGCGAGTGTGTTAGATAGGAATGGAAATGAATTATTTTTAGGACCTGACGAGTTGTTGGAATGTGAGCAGGGTAATATCTTATGAAGGGATTCAGGGAAACTGGTTAGTCAGACATGAGTCCTGGAGGTGGGAAGCACAATGCTGCACTTTAAAGGAGGGGTTTGAGATATTGACCATTTGGAGTGACATTTAAACTGCCATATCTGGTAACCTCTGCAAAGACTGTGTGTGAATGATGGTGTTTTTTTTTTTTTTTTGGGGGGGGGGATCACCCTGCCTCAGTGGGAGACTGCCTGTGTTAAAAAAAAATAGATCTTGCTGGAAGCAAGGGGCTAGTAGCCCATTCTCCTGTATAAATTACTAATTTTAAAAAGAGAAACATTAATTTTTCTCTTCAGGTCACCCTGCCTCGGTGGGATGCAACTGGTTTGTTGGCAAGGAACAAAAATGCATACCCTTATTTATTCACCTATTTGAACTGAGGACACCTGTCATACTCCTAGTAGTGTTTTCTCTATTATTCAACCCATTTATTAAAATCTTTTTATTGCATCAACCTTTTCTTTATTTATTTAACCCACTGTAGAACAGTGTAAGCAAAACTGGCATCTACATTGTAATTTTTTTGACAGTCTAAAATCTATATTGCACTCAGTGTTTTAAGTGAGAGTTAATCTAACACAAGAACTTAATTAAAGACAGTATAAAAATAAATAAGATAAAATCAACTGCTTATATGAGCAAGATAAAAATTCTTGATACTAGAAGAAACACAAAATTATGCAAAGGTACATGAAGGTAAATATTTCTTGTAATAACACTGTTGAATGTATGATGTATCTTGTTATTACACCTCAGTGTTGAATGTATTGTGTATCTTTTATGAATACTATACTAATTAAGATCAATAACAAAAAAGGGTACAATACCATGGCTGGAACAATACACAATAATGACATTTCAGTCTGACTTGGACCATTTACAAAGTCACACTGACAAAAAGGAGAGAAGGAGGGAGTATATATAGGCCAGCATATATTGATGGGAACTTCAAGAGAGGTAGAATTAAAGAAAGAAGAGAGGTAGTGGTAGAGGTAACAGTAGTAGTGGAGTCAGTCAAATACTAAGAAAAAGGAGCACTGCAAGGGGGTTAGTGGCCCACATAGGGCAGGAACAAGAACACAGGGGGGGGGGGAATAATAATGGACCAAAAACCCAAGGCAGAAGAAAGAAAACCCAAAGAAGAGAGAGGAAAGAGGAAAGGGAAAAACGGAGAAGGGGAAAAAAGAATCAGGTTAAGTCACAGGTGTTCTTAAGTTTGGAGCATTTTACAATGTAATGGGAAAGGAAGGCATCCACAGTGATAAAGCCAGGACTAAGATTCATACAAGGAAAGTTGTGTATAAGTGAGAATTCAACCAGATGGTGACTGTGAAAGTTAGAAGTAGGGTAGACAGTTTTAGCAGACCAGTCAATAGGATGACCATGATCTCTGACATGACAAAAAAGAGTGTTGTTGGTGTCAGCAAGCCTAACACTACTTTTGTGCTCTTAAGTCTGTCAGAAAGAGAACGACCGTTTCTCCAAAGTACTGGAGAGGACAGGAGGAACAAGAAATAGAGTAGACACCAGGAGCATCTATAGAGGAAGGAGAGGTATGAGATTTGTGCGAAGAATGTTAGTCTAGTGAAAAGTAGGTTTGATGTCTAAGGGACGGAGAGATTTGTTGGGATTAGAAAGACTGGAAATGTAGGGAAAGCAGAGGACAGGAGAATTCCCAGGAGTAGAGAGTTTGGGAGAGAAGAAAGACTGTTTAGCACGTGAGAAGGCAGAGTCTGTGAAATGGGAAGGGTAGCTAAGATGGGAAAATGAATTATGAAAATCAGAAATTTCCACTCTTCATAATTCATTTTCCCATCTTGGCTACTCTTCCCATTTCATAGACTCTGCCTTCTCACTTGCTAAATGGTCTTTCTTCTCTCCCAAACACTCTACTCCTGGGAACTCTCCTGTCCTCTGCCTTTCCTACATTTCCAGTCTTTCTAATCTCAACACCTCTCTCCGTCCCTTAGACATCAAACTTTTCGCCAGACTAACACTCTTCACACCAATCTAGTTCATACCTCTCCTCCCTCTATAGATGCTCCTGGTGTCTACTCTGTTTCTTGTTCCTCCTGTCCTTTCCAGTACTTTGGAGAAACGGGCCGTTTGCTTTCTGACAGAGCACAATAGTGGTGTTAGGTTTGTCGACACCAACAATACTCTTTTCTGTCATGTCAGAGATCACGGTCATCCTATTGACTGGTCTGCTAAAACTGTCTACCCTACTTCTAACTTTCACAGTTGACGTCTGGTTGAATCCTCCCTTATACACAACTTTTCTTGTATGAATCGTAGTTCTGGCTTTGTCTCTGTAGATGCCTTCCTTTCCCATTACATTGTAAAATGCTCCAAACTTCAGAACACTCGTGACTTAACCTGATTCTTATTTACCCTTCTCCCTTTTTCCCTTTCCTCTTTCCTCTCTCTCCTTTGGATTTTCTTTCTTCTGCCTTGAGTTTTTGGTCCATTATCCCCCCCATCCTCTGTGTTCTTGTTCCTACCCTATGTGAGCCGCTAGCTCCCTTGCAGTGCTCTTTTTTCTTAATATTTGACTGACTTCACTACTACTACTATTACCTCTACACTACCTCTCTTCCTCCTTTAATTCTACCTCTCTTGTTCCTGTCATTGTCTGCTGGCCTATATATACTCCCTCCTCTCCTTTTTGTTAGTGTGACTTTATTTGTGTAATTAAGATCATTACCAGAGTATAAACAATGTATCCTTCAAGTTCAAAATAGGTATTTACCAATTCTTAATTTCAGAGCCAGCTTCATGAGAATGAAACGTACACACAGCTGACCAACCTGGAGAAGAAATGGGCTCATCTTGAGCAAACCAACTTTACTCTTCGTGAATTTATTGCACAAAGAAAAGCTGAATCAAACTTTTTACCATTCAAAAATAAAGCTCTGAAACTTGTTAATGAGTACAATAAATCCTTGCAAGAAATAGTGCAAAGTGGCGTCTCTATCATGTGAGTTTATAAGTGTGGACATCATTCTACACTGCATACATTATGGCATGCAATGTCTGTGATAGTCTTAGGCTAAAAGCTACTTTATTATATTTCCTTTAATGTAAACATAGCATTTATCAGAGCTATACAGTTTAGCATATAGAATTATTGTGCAAACTTATGTCATTCTTTTTTAACAATTGTACTGCAAACACTATTCAGAATAATTTTATCATTAATAACAAATTCTGTTATATAATTATAGTGAAAATAAATGGTATAAAATACCGACACAATGGAAACATAAACGCATATGGGTTTATGTTTCCATATAATTATAGTATATAAATATGGTACTTTACCATATATTGCATTTTATAAAGTTTTGTACATTTATGGGTTATTCACTGCATCGAGTGATGGATGGAGGTTTGACCTTCCATCCGCTATTTGCACCCCCAGTCTCGGATAAGACTGACTGTTGGTGATTGCTCCATATAAATACTGTAAAGTTTTGTGTATACTTGTACTTACCTAAAAGGAACTGATATTGAAACCTCTTCTTTCTGTGCAATGTTACTTACCAGTTCTATATGCTTTTGTGAAATTTATCAATTGGTATCTCTTAAATATAGTGTATTTAATTCTTTCTTGCCTTCAAAATTTGGCTTATTCGCTATGCACACCAGATAGGCATATGGAGGGTATGGTATAACAGGCAGTGGCAAAATCTCAAAAATTTGAACTCAGGTGTGAGTCTAGATCAGGTGTAACCGACTGTATACTTGTCAAAAGAGGCCCTAACTCCTAGGCATATCATTATTATTATTAATTTATTATGATTGTTATTATTATTATTATTATTATTATAAAGATTGAAGGCAAAGAAGAAAGGTCTGTAACATACTAGAGAATTGTGTATGTGTGAGTTTCTTAAAATGGGAAAGCTTATAGCTGTTCTTTTTTTTGGTTCCAACAGCACTAACACTAGAATCAGAGAACCACTGGTTTAGCGGGTAATGTGCCAACCTGAATCTAAAACTGGTAATTACTCATGTCACCTGTTATCCAGGATAATAAACATACAACCACAAAAAATTATTGCTCACTTCCCACACTGCTATAAAACTTTACATCGTTCAATTTACTGATGTTTACTGCATTTTTTTTTTTTTTTTTGCTTCTAATAATTGCTAACTGAAGACAGTCTTTCCCTGGTGGGGAAATTGCAATCTTTCTTAATGCCTTCCCTCATGGGAGGTTCCTTGATGCTGCCAAGGAGCTCCTGATCAAAGGAATCGGAGCTGTGCTTTCCTTTCTTGGATTGACCCTGAATGCCTCCCATTCCCCATGTACTGCATGACCCCTAAGGGTTTAGTGTAATAATAATTAGTTGATGTGTGAAAGTTACTGTGGTGATGACTGTTCTTGCCAGGTTAACAGAAGTCTGCAAGGGCTGTACCTAAATGCTATCTCGAGTTTACTGCATATGAGATCTCATTTCGGCTAACCTGAAAGTTGAGTCTGCCCTTGAAACTGCAGTCTTTAAATGGTCAATATGTTATTTCAGGAGGTTTGGATCAATTGGCTGGTTATGTATTCCTCTTCAAGAGGTGGGGGGAGGGCTCTTGATTGAAGGAATCGGACCTCTTCTCCCCTTCCTTGGATCAAAGATAAATACATGCAACCCCAGACCCCCCTCCTTTTGCCTCATTAGTAGGGGATATATCCCCTTCGTGAAATTCAGCTCATGATTCTCTTGTTCTAAAATGGAATGAGTGTGTCATCAGCCTTGTTCTAGTGTTGTGGTGGGTGAAATATTGGGTGGTCATCTGGCAAGTTCTTTGATCACAGCAGTCTTATATGAGGTTGCCTGCAAATCCAGGAGTGGCAGCTGAAAGTGTTTAACTCCTGGTGTTCTTTCCAGTTTGCTCATCACCATTAGATGAACAATGATTCACAGTGTTCTCTAAACAGGCAGTTTTCCTAAGCCTTCCTGTTGGTGCACACCGGCATACCTCCCCGGAAACCAACCCCAGTGGTGCACACCAGCATACCTCCCCGGAAACCAACCCCAGTGGTGCACACCGGCATACCTCCCCGGAAACCACCCCCGGTGATGTACACCAGGTGGTTTCTAGGGAACAATAGCACTTCTTGTTGCAGAGGGCCTGAGCATGTTCAAGGTGGGTACATGGTTTTATTTCATTTATTCTTGATGTCCCATGTGTTTTACCTTATGAAATATGAGAAACTGATTTGTTCTGGATTCCAAGTGAATATCACCCTTGATGGCGGGCTCTTTTCATGGGAGGGGGGTTACGATTGTCATCTTGGCCACACTGGGTGGGCCATGACATGTAGTGACGTAACTTAACACTATCCCATGTGTTTGCCATACATGCCTACCCATAAATTCATTTCCTTTTGCCTAAATATTGAGAAGAATGGCAGTCTGCAGGTAGGCAACACTTCTTTGGTAGGAGGATAGAGGACAAATGGTAGGTTTAGTGCTAGCCTCACCGAATCAGTTGGTATAATATTGCTCTTCCCTGCCTGGTAGGGCAATGTGTTCGGCTTGTGCCAAGTAAGCATCCATTAGTGGGCATTACTTTGGTACCGTGGCTGCCTTTTAGCTCAATGATGGTACTTGCATGCCGATCTGGTAAAGAAAACTCCTGGAACCAGTGCTGATAGTGAATTTAAGGCCAGCAGAGGCTGTTTTGACAGATTTAAGAAGCGTAGTGGCTCTTAAGTTACATTCACTTGTTAGACGAAGAATGAGGGGAGACCTGATTGAAGTGTATAAGTGGAAGATAGGTATTAATAAAGGGGATATTAACAAGGTCTTGAGGATATCTCTCCAAGAGAGAACCCGCAGTAATGGATTTAAATTAGATAAGTTTAGATTTAGAAAGGACATAGGAAAGTATTGGCTTGGAAATAGGGTAGTTGATGAGTGGAACAGTCTACCTAGTTGGGTTATTGAGGCTAGGACTTTGGGTAGTTTCAAATTTAGATTGGATAAGTACATGAGTGGGAAGGGTTGGATTTGAGTGGGACTTTCATACCAGAGCTTATTTCTTGGGTAGCATTGAAAATTGGGTTGGGCAAATGTTTTGTTAGTGGGATGAATTGTAAAGGACCTGCCTAGTATGGGCCAACAGGCCTGCTGCAGTGTTCCTCCTTTCTTATGTTCTTATGTTCTTATATACAATGTTGTAAAGGCTTGGTGAGGCAGCCAGTTCAGGCAAACGGGCGGCTGAGAAGTTTGTACAGGAGTTTAAGGGGCACGTAGACACTGAAAAATTCAAACCCCCAACAAGTGTTCAATTGTGGCAAAACAGGCCTGTTTTGGAAGAAAATGCCAAAGAGGACCCACATTACTCAGAAGGAAAAGGCACTCCCAGGACACAAGCCTATGAAAGACAGGCTAACTCTTTTGTTCTGTGCTAATGCTAGTGGTGATTTTAAAGTGAAGCCTTTACTTGTGTATCACTCAGAAAATCCCAGAATGTTTAAGAAAAACAATGTCATTAAGAACAAGTTATGTGCCTTGTGGAAAGCAAGTAATAAGGCATGGGTCACAAGGCAAATTTTCAAAGAGTGGGTCCATGAAGTGTTTGGCCCCAGTGTGAGAAAATACCTCCTGGAAAATAATATGCCACTCAAGTGCCTCCTGTTAATGGACAATGCTCCTGCTCATCCTCCAAACTTGGTAGACCTACTGTCTAGGGACTACAGTTTCATCACAGCAAAGTTCTTGCCTCCTAACACCACTCTTCTCCTCCAGCCCATGGACCAGCAGATCATTTCTAACTTCAAAAAACTCTATACAAAAGCAGTGTTTGAAAAGTGCTTTGGGGTGACCACAGACACTAAGTTGACCCTAAGAGAGTTCTGGAGGAATCACTTCAATATCTACAGCTCCATAAGCCTTATAGGTAAGGCTTGGGAGGGAGTGACTTCCAGGATTTTGAACACTGCTTGGAGACAATTGTGGCCAGATTGTGTCCAAAAGAGGGATTTTGAAGCGTTTGAGGCTGACCTGACCCTGCTGACTCCTCTGCCTGTTGTGGACTCTATTGTGGCATTGGGAACACCCTGGGGCTGAAGGTGAGTAGAGAGGATGTGGAAGAGTTGGTGGATGGCCACAGGGAAGAGCTAACTACTGAAGAGCTGGAAGAGCTTCGTCTGGAACAGCATCAGACCACAGCTCAAGAACTTGCTTCAGAGGAGAGGAAGAGGGAGTGGATGAGGTGTCTTCTTCAGTGATTAAGGACATGTGTGCAAAGTGGAATGAGTTGCAAACTTTTGATGAAAAGTATCACCTTGACTAAGCTGAAACAAGCCATCTCCGCAACAAGTTCAGTGACAGAACCATGTCCCACTTCAGGGAAATGTTAAAAAAGCACCAGAAACAGAGGACTGTTGACAGTTATTTTGTGAGACAGGGGTTCAGTGACTCTCAAGCTGGTCCTAGTGGCATTAAAAGACAAAGAAGAGAAGTAACCCCTGAGAGGGACTTGTTACCTAAAGTCTTTATGGAAGGGGATTCCCCTTCCGAACAATAACCCCAACTCCCTCTCTCCTTCTCCCTATCTTCCAGATGCCATCACCAGTCTTCAATAAAGGTACGTAAAAATGTTATACGTTTATTTATTACTAATTGTACTATGTATGTTTGTTGTGTGTGTGTAAAACTATAATGTAATCTCTATAAAATGTATTTTTTTGTGAATTTTTGGGGCTTCTGGAACGGATTAATTGTATTTCCATTATTTTTTATGGGAATATTGGTTCGACTTTCGAACATTTCGACTTTTATAAGCTTGGAACTTTGTCATGTCCTAATGGATGCCACTTTCATATAGATTCTAGTATTGTCTTCAAAGATGATTGGGTGCTATGATTTATGCCTCTGTCTGCGTCAGATATGAGAATAAGTAAACAGGAGCTAGTACTGTGCCTTGGGAAACAGCTTTTTCACTATGGCTGGCAATGATTTCACTATTCACTACACTCTGGGTTCTCTTCATTAGAAAATTAAATATCCATCTACTCAGTTTCCAAGTTATTCCTTTTGCATGCATTCTGTGAGCTATTACACCATGATCACACTTGTCAAAGGCTTCTGGAAAGTCAGAGTAAAATACATTTACATTTTGCTTGTCTTCCACTGCATCTAGGACCATGTAATGGTTCAGCAATTGAAGAGGCAGGAGTGACCTGCTCTAAATCTATTTTACCTTGGGGCCAGTGGTTAAGCTTCCTCTTGTTGGGCTCAAGGTTGGATGAGGAAATAGGGAGCTCAGTGTGATTACCAACATATGGATAATCATCCTACACAGTTAGGAACCTGCTACTGCTATCAAGTACTCCTTTGTTGCCTAACCCCAGTATTGATGTCCACTGATCCATTTGATACTTCTGCACTACTTTTACTATGCTCCTGACTTCTTACATATTGTAGCATAAATTTTTGGGTCATTTGTCACAGGACAGAATGACCCAGAGCCATCATCTGGATGACCTAGACATGTAATGGAGGACTATACCTGTCCAATCTCTCTCTCATCACAAGAGACGAGCTTCCTGAAAACCTCTTCCCCTTGCAGATATATTTCAAGTACTCTCTTGAACAATTTTTTCTCTTCCAGCCAACAAAACCTATGGAATCTTAAAACCTTATGGAACATTGCATTATTATTATCAAAACTATTCGTTAAATCCAACAGATCATGGCATTAGTAAAGCTTTCATGAGGTTTGTTGGCCAAAATGTGGCCTTTCATAATCTCAAGAGTGGGATGCACATTGTCACTATAAAGGATGCTGAACAAGCTAATAATCTTTCCTATGTTGGCTCTATCAACAACCTTTTTACGATAAACAAAGATTCTTTACGTAATTCTAGCTGTGGCACTGTCCTTGTCCCACACACTACAGTCGAACTAGACTCTATGCAATGGCCCAGACACATGGACAACACCTGGACATTCATAAGCAACCTGAGCTCCAGAATCTCCCTGCCACCACAGTGGAGACTTATGTCTGACCTGCCTGAGGTAGGGGACATAATCAGAGAAACAT